GAAAGATGAGCAAACTGTAGAAAATAAATTGAAGTTAGCCTAGAACATCAGTAGATCACTGATAGCAAACAACATAAGCAAACCCAGCGATATGATCATGACCAGCATAGCATCCAGTTGACATGAGACTTCCCAACTGGAATATCCATTGTGGCAAGATTGCACAAAACAGCAGTGTTAATTAGGTGGCATATTATTAAACCACCAAATTAAGATATGTTGAAGACTCTGACTTCACAATGCTCAGTGTTCCTATCATGTGCTCTGGTATATTTCACTAGCAATCTTGCCAGTGTATTTTGTTTGTTTCACTTTTTTATTGTTATTATGATTATTTTATTAGAAAGGCAGATTCACCTTTCTAATAAAAAGAGAGGAAGATACAGAGAGAAGGATCTTTGATCTGCCTGTTTAATCCCTGATTTTCTAGTCAAAGCTGAGCAGATCTGAAGCCAAGAACCAGGAGTTTCTTCTGAGCTTCCCAAGTGGGTGTGGACCCCTGTACTGTGTCCTCCTGGCCACAAACCAGGAGCTGGAAGATAAGTGGGCAGCTGGGACACCAACCTGTGCCGATATGGGATGCTGGAGCATGCAAATAATGGATTTAGCCACTAAGCCACTGTGCCTGACCCTTGACAGTGTACTTTTTTTAAGAAAAATTATTTATTTTTATTTGAGCCCAATGGCAGGTGCTGTGCCGATCCAAAGCTGGGAACCAGGAACCTCTTCTGGGTCTCCCATGTGGGTGCAGGGTCCCAAAACATTGGGCCATCCTCGACTGCTTTCCCAGGCCACAAGCAGGGAGCTGGATGGGAAGTGGAGTTACTGGGACCAGAACCGGCAACCAAATGGGATCCCAGGCATTCAAGATGAGGACTTTAGCTGCTAGGCCATGCCACCGGGCCCGACAGTGTACTTTGAATACTTGAATAAGATACCCTTCTCCAGAGCAATATAACAGAAAGTATGCCAATGACATTTGTTCCACTGACTTTCTTTCATTCATATATCTACATTTTCAGAATTAATGTTTGTATGTTATTTATGATGTCTATGTAGTTCTATAATCAAGTATAGAAAATGAATTATTTTCAAAAAGCGCACATGCATGTAAGAAAGACTCTGATGTCATCACTATTTCCTACAAATTCTACAACCTGGGAAAATACATCTTTTTCTCTCATTTTTACTCTTTATCCTATTATCTGCCGACTGAGGCTTGATTTTTTCTCTTTGGAGCCATTCTTATAACTCAACACTCAATAAATGAACTCCAATTGAAGCTAATTTAGAAAATACATATTATTTCACAATAATAGAGCGTTTTACAGTTTTGCTATTTAAAATCACTTCCAAGTCTTACCTCTTTTTTGTTGTTGTTGTTGTTAACATAAAATTCTACATCTTGTCTTTAAGTTGTACCTTTCTCATTTTTTTTCTCTCTCTTCTGTAACCTAGGAATAAGAACAAAATCATACATAAGGTAATCATAATATTTGAAGTGGTGTTTAGCCTCAGCATATAATAAGTCAGTGCAGCACAGAATTTGAGGGATTTTTGCCATGCATTTTGTTACTTTCCAACAATTTAAGCTCATTATGTCACTAGTTTCATGTTGCTTTTGGATTTAACTCTTGTCCTCATTTTCTAAATCACCACAATAATATACACTTGCTTGTCCAATATCCTTCCTTTGTCTCCTCTTTGTTTTTGTGATGGCCCAAAATTCTTGATATTTCTTGACTTTAAGCCATCTTGTTAAGTCTTTACCTAGTGTATCAAATGGAATGTCTGGATCTGACTTTGTGTCCATGTCTTAGGGAAAAAAAGAAAAATACACATTGTATTAAGTTAAATGCATAAAACTTTGTTTTAAATTGATTAAATATTCAAACACCATTCAAAGGTAATTCAAAATCTGGTCACAATCACACAGAATGGAGACTCACCACTAATTCAGCATACAATTTTGTGATCCAAAATTCAAAACAGGACAGTGCTTAACTCTCCATGGATGTCTTTACCAGAGGTAACTGCTGCCAGAATTCATATGAATGATTATTGCCCAATCAATACAATTCACTATGTGTTTTCTAAATGCCCCCAAAATTCCCTTCAGGGCAGAGTAGCATATGCCTAACAAACCAGGAATAATGTTTAAGAAGTTGAGAAATCCAGCAATCATTATACAAAAAAGAGAGGTCAGTAAGCCTGCGGGTTTGTCATTTACTGTAGAATAACCAGCATTTATCTTTTGTATAGATCATATAGCCGAGTATCAGTGGAAGCTAATTGACTTGAGTCCACAGTCCATGTGATCCTATTATTCTAACATCACATAAAGAGCCTCTCTCTGTGTTATGGATTGACTTAGGTAAGCAGTTATCGGCTAGTTTATGCCCAACTAACTAGCTCATGTGTAAATATTACCTAGTGATTTTATGAGTCATCAGGTCACAAATTAAAGGTATTATTTACATAGGATATTCAAATATCATACTACATTATGAATCCACAATTTTGAGAGTGAATTGCAAATATCATTAGTGAAATAAAACAACTCTTGGCAGTAAATCAAGTCTTGAATGGGTTACTTTATAATAACATTTGGCATTTCATATAAGATATATGATGCATTAGGTTATTTTCCATGAATGGTCACAAAAACTGAATTACACTGTGCATTAAGTGTACATGATAAAATGACAGATACTTATGCTATCATTTTCATAAAAAATAAAAGCTTAAATGGTGATATGTTATTACAATATTTATTTAATTTTCTCATTGTGTTGATAATCCGTCTCATTACGTTTTCAGTCTGAAATAATCTGTGAAAATGAAGTCTGGCTATAAAGTGACTTATTTAAAAAATAGCTGAGCTTTATCACTGTGCAATCCCAAATAAACACATCCAATCCAATCATCAAGGCAGAAAGAATGTTATCATATTGATTGACATTGCATCCTACAGGAGTCCTAAAGTATCAGTTCACTTGAGGTCAGTCATTTTCCAGAGCAGTTTTTTTTTAAGGATTTATTTTTATTATTTTTTTATTGGAAAGGCGGATATACAGAGAGGAGAGACAGAGAGGAAGATCTTCTGTCCGATGATTCAACCCCAAGTGAGCTCAACTGCAGATGCTATGCAGATCTGAAGCCAGGAGACTCTTCCGGGTCTCCCACGCAGGTGCAGGGTCCCAAAGCTTTGGGCCATCCTCTACTGCTTTTCCAGGCCACAGGCAGGGAGCTGGATGGGAAGTGGGGCTCCCGGGATTAGAACCAGCACCCATATGGGATCCTGGGCATGCAAGGCGAGGACCTTGATCACAGTGCCACGGCGCTGGGCCCTTATGTTTATATAATTATTTCAATATCTAACTTTATATTATGCATCATATATAGAGAAATATTATTATAATTACATGTACATTATAAATAAATAAAATTTTCCAAAAAATACTAAGTAAGACATTTTATGCCTTTTGAATAAAGACTTTTTTGTTAAAAGCTTTATAAATATTGTTTTCACCTCAATCTACCATTCAAAGCAAGTTGAACTGTCGTCTGTCTCTCCAATTGAGACATCTTGCTGCTTTGACAAGGCAGTCTTTTTTTTTTTCTAATTTTATTCTTTATTATATTTTTGACAATCTTTTCATAGTTAATTAGGGTAAAAAGGTTCAAGGGATATAGGAAAGGGGTAAGACTATTGTTTCCATATTTTTTCCTTCATGTTTCTGAAGAAACAGGGGATATTGAGGGAGAAGTCCCACCCAGTTTCCCACCCACCCCAAGTCCCTGATGTGGGGCATGCTCTGAGATACTGGCTCAAGTGGTTTTCATAGTTCATAAATTGTGAATTGTTGCTAATCTTGCCATTCCAAGCATAATGAGGTCATTGAAGAATCCACTGATTGATACAGTCCAGCATAGAGTCTCCATTTGCCCAGTATTTCACTGCCAACATGTAGCTAAGGTGGTTGATTCATTTGTTCTGTCTTCTGTCTTTTCTTGGTTAGGGTTCTGAGTCCAGCATTTTGATTGAGGAGATCCCCCAAAGAAACTTTGCGGTATGCCCAGACAAGATTCTTGTGTGTTCTAGCAAGTACAGGGCCCGGCACAGTCCATCGCCCTGATCAGCTGCTGGCTGCAATTGCTGGGTTGGTTCTGTTTTCAGTCCCTACTTTCATTGGAATCAATGGGTGTTGCAGTCCCGCCTGGTTCTGTCCAGCACATGCTCGGCCCTCACATAAACCAGTGGGAGCTGCAGCCTAGTCATGGTGACCCACAATAACCCCCACCAGGCCCGCCCCCTACCCTGGTTTGCCAGTATATGCAGCAGAGTAGTCAAGTATGTCCCACATCCCATTTGATTCTCATACATGTCAGTGGGCATTGAAGCTTAGCTCTATCTAACAAGCTCAACTATCCAGCCCTCACTGATATTGTTGAGTGCCTCTCTGTCTAGCCACCACAGCCCCTGTACAGGTTTCATGCCCTCCCACGGGATGGTAACCCAACATCCCGTGGGAGGAGCCCACTATTTCCTTCCCAGGTTTCTCTCACTCCTGGATTATGCACTCTTCAGGTGGTTCTGTGGTTTAACATGACAGAATTAGCCCCAGTGCCTGCTTCTGCTAGCTGACACTATGGCTAAGCCCAAACAACCCTCACCAACTTTAATTTATGCTTGCACCAGTAAGAACAATGAGCCCAGCCTGGCTTTTCCCTGATCTAGTCCACAAGAGGCACACAGGTATTTTAGCCCTGCTTAGTCTAGTCTGCCCCCATCCGAACTCATGCTCTCCAGTGGGAGTAGCTGTCCAGCATGGGGAACCACCCCCGCCCCATATTTCCCCAGTCGGCTCTGCCCCCTCCCTTCCTGGTTCTCATGTGTGCTGGTTAGGAGCTGTGGTCATATCTGGCAGAAGCCACCTCTCCTTGGCATTTCATATTGTGCACTGTTTTTTGTCACAACTGAACCTGGCCCGACACACAGTCTGTTCTGGTGCTCGGATTTGCCAGTGGATGACATGAACTGACTCAGACTGGTTTGCCCCCAACCCATGCCAAATGTGTGCCAGTGGGAAACTTTCCATGGCCTATTCTGGGCTGTTTCCTATCATGCTTCTTGTGCTTACCTGCAAGGACTTTGTCCTACCAGAGGAGTTGCCCAGGCTCCTCCATCAGAACCCTTCCCAATGGCAGATTTTGCACATACTAGCGGGTCCATGAGCCAGCACTATTCAGTTCACCTCCTGTCCTAGGAGGAACAGTGGATTTTCCTAACTGGCCTTCAACCCAATCTGGTTCTTTCTGTTAGATGTTTCAGCCCCAGGCATGGCTCATCCATACCCACATATAGCTTACATATGGCTCAGTAGGGCTTCAGACCTAGCCTAGTCCATCCCACATCTACCCTGGTCCTCCAGGACACCAGAGACAGTGTTGTGGTCTGACCCTGCCTGGTGCATCCAGTCCCAGTCCACACTTGTGCCAAGGGAGACTACAACCATTTCCTCATCAGAATGCAGCCCCCATTCCAGCCCATGTGCCCATTGGTGGGAACCTCAACCCAGTTAGGGTGTCCTCTTAGCTCCCCAATTTATCCTGTTCCCAACCATAGAACACGTGCATGCCAGTGGTTGCTATGACTCAGTTTATCTCAGCCCCTCACCTGTCCCAGCCTCAGCCTTAGATGCTGTGGCTTAGCGTCCCTTGCTCACTCAGACCAGTAGGTGCAAGAGCCTAGCTCTGCATGACCTGTGTTCCATGCTGGTTTCTAGTTTTGCTTGTAGGCTAAAGTCCTGCCAGTACACTGTTTTCCATTTCCAATGCCAGTTGTTGGAGCTACTTTGCATATAGGAGAGTCTTAAGGCAAAGGCAATCACTTTTGTCCACAAACAGCTTTAACAAATGAACAGACATACAAACAAACAAAAAACCGAAAATGGACAGACAACAAGGAAAGCTTAGAATCAGACAGGAAATGATCAGCGTGGATTCACTTATACCTCACTAAGTGGGACACAAAGATTAGTTACGCCTCACTGAGGTATTGGGTATTTCTCTGCACACCCCCACAAAAAAAAAAATGTTCTTTACCTAAACTGATGACACATGTCTTGCTAGAGTTATAAGCAAGTTCAGACTATCTGAGAAACAACTAACTTTAGCAAAATCATGCTTCAACACTATAAAGAGCTAAATACTAAAATAAAAATAGATGAGACAGTTGTATAGTAATCTATAGCCATTTTGAGGTGTATGGAACCCAGTTGAATATAAATCAAAAATCGAAATGTCTATGAAGAAGTCACAGGATGTAGTTAAGAACCCGCATTTTCCTATTAGCATATTGTTAATCAATACCATGTCAATTAATGCCATAATGTTGTAAATGGTTGCTGATGTTATATCTGGGCTTTTAATTGATTGGGATGATACTTTGCTGGCTTTACCTTCAGACCACAGATGGTCTCACCAAGAAATCGTTGAACTAACTAAGATAATATGCTGCTGGTCTTTATGCTTGGTAAATACTTCCAATGAAAGAACCTCAACTGAATTTGAACTGTGGTAATGCAACAAGGTGGAGAAATCCACCAAGGGGAAAGGGTTCGGGGAGGGGTCGGGGGAATCCCAGTGCCCATAACACTTTGTCACATGATGCAATGCAATTAATAAAAAAATAATTAAATTAAAACTATGGCACATTAAATAGGTCAAAAAATATGTTTTTAGTTACATGCTCTGATTTCAAAACTCATAGCAGTTTGAAAGGATGATTTGTTTATGTTTGAAATCCTTATGTTTAAGTATCACAAGCTTGTGATAACTTGGATATGAATCTTATTAATTCTATGAGATCATGTTCAGATATTTTCTATCTGTCTTACCATAGCTGACACTTTCTGTAATCTGTAGGCATCTATAGGTGCTGATTTTTTCATTATAAGTATACCTAATTAACCCAGCAAAAACAGTTCAACATTTCAAACCAGGTTAACATTATACCAGACAACACTGCCTCTGTTCATACTGGGGCAGATGATGACTTTGACTTGTGATATGTTGACAATAATGAATTTATTTTAAGTACAAATAAAAATAAAAACTAGAAAAAGAGAGAAATATTGAAACTTCCACTCCTTCCACAAAATTGGAAAGTACTACTTAATTAACAAATCAAAATAAAAATCCAAATACATACATTAATAGATGATTCAAATGATAAACAGAAAAAAATGTCCCACTAACCTTAATTACTCATGAAATGAAAATAGCAGGCACAAAGTAATCTAGAATTATATGCAAATCATGCTTAAATTCTAGATAAGGTTAAAACTGTCTTCATTTTCAAAAGGAACAGTTTTCAAAAGGCTGATTCAAAAGGATATGGACAAAATTTATGAAATTCTCAATTAGCTAAATACTCAATTTCTCACGTGGCTTTAACATTTACGAAGATATTAAATTAAATGTGCACTTTTTTTTTATAGATCTATTTTTGTCTTTGCTTAATGAGGACACACACTTAAGGCCAATTCTATCTGCCCAGTAATAATTAAACATTGGAAGAGTTTGAGTATATAACTCCTGTATTCACTATATATGTATATTCTGGAGAAATGTCCCACTGAGTTCCAATCTGCTGAACTCTGCTGTGATGGTTGAAAATAGAGCATGTGATTAAAACCTCCTTGCTAAACTCAACACATGGAGATATCAAGACATAGTACATTTTGTTCCCAGTGTAGAAAGATGGTAGAAATAGCAGAGATCGAACAATCCAATTGTACAAATATATTAATTTCTAATAGCTCATAAAATGTCTCAGAAAGGTGCTTACACGCCAAATAATAAGCACTGACCCAGTGCAGAGTCAGCTGGTATGTTTAGTAGCAGGAAATACTGAGAGTTTGCAACACTGATACCAGAAGGAGAAAGTAAAATAGGATACATACATCTGAGACATGAAATGCTTAAGGAGGAAAAAGGGTAACAGAGCTTTCTTGATCACTCAGTACCTACATTTATACACACATATTAACTGGTCAAGATATTCAGATGCAATTCATCTTGTATAATAATAAAAATTCATCTAAATACTTGCAGCTTTTTTTTTTTTTATGTTGTGGAAAAGTGTCTTTTCTTCTGGTGCACTGGAATGGGATAAATAAAGGTTAGAAGTAGATGATTCACAAATTAAATAAAATAACAGGAAAAAAAAAAAAACAGTAAGAGCCCTGCTGACAATAACTAGTAATGCTTTTCCTATTGCTTATTTTGTAAATGACTAAAAATCTGATATCTCTTTGTGTTATCATCCCTCTCTCATACACAAACTTCATTGTTTTTCTCTCTCTTAAGAAAACACTTAGTGTGGGCCTCTCATTCATTTCTGGCCTGGAAATTGAAAATATGTATAAGTTTCATACTTCAATTGCATAGAAAAGGAATTTAGAATGATTAAGACTTCACATCTGTCACCATACACTAAAATTCAATCTACATGGATAAAAGACCTAAACCTACATCCAGAAACCTTCAAACTCTTGGAAGAAACTGTTGGAAATACCCTGCAAGACCTAAGAGTAGGTCCTGACTTTCTAAGAAGGACGCCAAAAGCAATAGCGGTTAAGAACAGAATAAACAAGTGGGACCTCATCAAACTAAGAAGCTTCTGTACAGCAAGGGAAACAATCAGCAAAGTAAAAAAGCAACCCACAGAGTGGGAGAAGATCTTCCCGCTCTATGTAGGAGATAGTGGGCTAATCTCCAGGATATACAAACAACTCCAAAACAACCAAAAAAAACAAAACAAACAAGCCACTCAAAAAATGGGCACGGGAATTGGGCAAACAGTTCACAAAGGAACAAGCCCAAATGGCAAACAAACATATGAAAAAATGATCCAGTTCCCTGGCAATAAGGGAAATCCAAATTAAAACATCGATGAGGTACCACCTAACACCAGCAAGATTGGCCCACATAAAAAAGAACACCAATGACACTTGTTGGAGAGGATGTGGGGAAAAGGGAACCCTACTCCACTGCTGGTGGAGCTGCAAATTGGTACAGCCTTTATGGAAATCAGTCTGGAGAACACTCAAACAACTCAAAATCTGCATACCATATGACCCAGCAATAGCACTCCTAGGAATATATCCAAAACACCTGTTTCACGACAAACCAACATGCACCCCTATGTTCATAGCAGCACAATCAGTAATTGCAAAAACATGGAAGCAACCGAAATGCCCATCAGCAGAAGATTGGATAAGAAAGCTTTGGATCATCTACTCCATGGAATACTACTCAGCTATTAAAAAAAAAAAATGCAGTTCTTTGTGGCTAAATGGGCCCAACTGGAAACTATAATGCTAAGGGAAGTGAGCAAATCTCAAAAGGTTAGATACCACATGTTTGCCTTGATTTAGCCTGTAATTTTTCTTTGGTTGTTTGTTACTTTTTGAACCTGTCATTGATACTGTCTCAACCCAGATGTTTTGAAGAATTGAACTTGCATTATTTTTAACATATTGTTTACTCAATACTATGTCAATTAATTCCATAACATTGTATATTGATGCTGATGTTTTGTTGGGGATTTTAACTGACCGGAACTTTACTCTGTTAGCTCTACCTTGAGACGAGAGAAGGTCTCCCCAAGAAGCCACTGAACTTATCTGGACAATAAGATGCTGGACTTTATGCTAGGTATATGCTTGCAATGAAGGAATCTCAACTGAACTTGAACTGAGGTTATGCAGCAAGGTGGAGGAATCCACTATGGGGGGAGGGTTGTGGGAGGGGTGGGGGGAATCCCCAGTGCCTATAAAACTGTATCACATAATACAATGTTAATAGCAATAAAAAAAAAAGAAAGAAAAAAAAGACTTCAAAGAATACAGTATTGGCAGTAATAGTAATATCTTTTTAACAGATCATGCCTTTGTTTCCGCATTAGAGAAAACAGATGTAAAGTTGACAAACATTTTTATTCTCTCCTTTGATTTAAATACATACTCTTTAAAAAAAAGATTTATTAATTATTAATGGAAAGATAGATATACAGAGAGGAAGATCTTCCATCTGACGATTCACTCCCCAAGCAGCCGCCATGTGTGAAGGTGAGCCGATCCGAAGCCAGCAGCCATGAGCTTCCTCCGGGTCTCCCATATGTGTGCAGGGTCCCAAGGCTTTGGGTCATCCTTGACTGCTTTTCCAGGCCACAGACAGTGAGCTGGATGGGAAGCGGAGCTTCCAGGATTAGAACCCGAGTTTATATGGGATCCAGGGGCATTAAAGGTGAAGATTTTAACCACTATACTCTGGCGCCGATCCCTAAATACAAGACTCTTATCATGATTAAAAAACTTTCTGCGATCCTTTTAACTTAATTTTAAATCATCTGTTCAATCATTATTCTTAAACTATAGGCATGATTAAGTTAATAAATTATTTAAATTAATTATCTGGGCCTATTTGAACTGAACTGAAAATGAGTACTTTTATTATATTCTCATAAATGTTTTATGATAATGTAGTTAAACTAATAGTCTATCAGTAAAGGCTGTCAAAGCTTTGCACAAGACAAAGTAAGTAAAACTAGACTGAATGAAATAATTTGATATTGGTTGTAAGCATGAGGGCATAGAAAATTAGGTCATGAGATGCCTAACTCATACCATAATGTTTGGGATTAAGTCCTGTTTTAGCCTCCAACACAGTAGTCTGTGAATGCTTCCAGCAAGTAGCAGATTATTGCCAAAATACTTACATACCTGCTACCCATATGAAAGGTCAAGATAGAATTCCTTCTCTTGCTTTAGCCTGAATTGGTGCAACTGTTGCTGCCTTTTGGGGGCTGGATCAGCAGATGGAAGAAATCTCAAACCTTCTTATTTCCCCTCACACTCTATCTTACAAAAAAAAAAAATCAATCATTAAAAATAATTTCATCTTAATATTTACATAAATTACCCAAAAAGAACATCATTACGTAGGACCTTTTAGGCTTGCCACAAATCACACGGCAGTTTAAAGTTCAAAGTGTTTGCAAATGTAATTGTAAAACACATTTTAGTGAATGTGTTTACACTATTACTAGGTAGTGCAGTAATCGTGATTCTCTTAGTCCTGTTTTAGCCTTATAGACTAAAACTCTTGTAGAAAGTGGACATGATATTTATATAAACGCTGTTAAAATTCAGTATTGAAAGACCACTTAAATCAGGCTTTAACGAAATGTTGTTTTGATAGTCAAATGCATAATGTAAATCATAAAAAAATACACTGTTCATGCCTAGATAGTGTAGTCTTTGTCAACTCAAATCTGTAAAGGATGTATGAAGGAGCCAAAAAGTGAAGGGATGAAAGGAGATAATGCCTTGAAGAGTTTCAGTGAAAATGTGGTTGAAACAAAAAGAAAAAAAAAAAAACAATAATCTGTGTACTTTTATTTAATGAATAGCATGTCTTATCCAAATGGAACTGTTTTCCTAGTTTCTTTATTGGTAGTGCAATAACAAACAGTTTATTTCTGTTCATACATTTTGCTGCCCTGCTAATGCTAGTCTCATTACTCTATCAGGCTGTCACAGGCTAGGTCTCCCTTTAAAATTCTGGATACAAATAGTTAGGGCACATTTCATTTAATAAGAAATTATTCCTAGTGTTATTGTTAATAAAGTCACCAATGCTCCTGCTAACATTTTTTTTTATCAAATAAAGGAAATTCAAATTTTGTTTGATTTTTTTCCTAATGCATGTTAATTTTAATGTATATTGTCTTAGAATTAATGTTGTCTTTAAAAAAAAATAAAGAGGTGAACCCATACTTTTTTATTTCGACATTTTTAAACTTGTGAATTACATTGTTATATCAGATTCACATTCCTGAAAAAAAAAAAGCGATATTAGGGGTATTTATTTGTGTAATCACCACTTTGTTTTATTAGCATTTGGAATATAATATAATTTATGTCCTCTTATTCATGAGCAATTTTATCAGCTTAATTTCTTACAAAATATTAGATGTGCGTGTGTATATCTTTATGGTTATATAATTTGCACGTGTTCATATATATTAATATACTCCGTTTTCAAAAGTTTTTTTTTATTGTGAAAGCGATTGTAGATGTCGCTACTAAGTTAAGGGTTTAAAGCCAATTTTTTCATTTTATATTTTGCTAAAAACAATATTCAGAATTTTTAAGCACTATTGAACATTAACAGCATTAATTTTTAAAATAATATTCACTTGTAATATCTTTTAGAGTTTTTATGATTTTATTTATACCACTTTGAAAATACAACTTAATTTTTGCCATAGTTTCCATTGTTTTCTGCTACTATTGTTGTCAGCTTTCCTTATCATTTTTTTTTTTTTTTGCTCATTTAAAGATCTAGGGTTTTTTTTAGATTTCTTGAAAACTTTATGGTTGAATAGCATGATGTATATGGATGTGATTTATTTTTTTTTTTCTGTTTCACATTTATCAAATCTTTTCCTACAAAAGAGAATTGGCCATGTTATAGGCCACAAATCAAGCTTAAGTAAATTTATAATGTCAAAATCGGACCATGCATCTTTTCATCAAGGAGTGAAACTAGAGACTATCAAGGAGTGAAGCTAGAGACCAAGAAGTGAAAACACCAAGGAAGACTTGTAAACACATGGAGACTGAATAAGATATTACTAAATGAGCAATAGGTTAGAGAGGAAATCAAAGGGGAAATTAAAACAAAAATCCTTGAATCAAAGGAAGGCATCAACACAACATATTAAAACTTATAGGACACAAACAAGGCAGGGCTAAGAGGAAACTAAACTTCAATCAATGCTTATGTCAAGATAGTAGAAAAGCATCAAGTAACTCAGCTAACCTTACAGCTGAAGGAACTAGAGAAACAACAAAGCAATCCCAAGATTAGTAGGAAAAAAGAAATCATCAAAATAAGGGAGGATATAAATTAAACAGAGACCAAGAGAACTATACATAAGATCATTGAACCGAACAGCTGGTTCTTTGAAAAAATCAGCAAACTCCCCACTAGCCCAACTAATTAAAAAAAAAAAAAAGGAAGGAGAAAATATATATCAATAGCATCAGAGACAAGAAAGGAGATACAGCAACAGAAACCTTGAAAATACAAAGAATCATCAGAAACTATCACGAGCAAGTATAAGCAAACAAATCAGAAGACTTAAAGGAGATGGATAGATTTTTGGACACATACAGTCCAAAAAAATTGAATTAGGAAGCAATTAAGAATCTAAATAGAACAATAACATGCATTGAGATTGAATCAGTAATTAAAGCCCTCCCAAGCAAGAGAAGTTCTGGATCAGATGCCTTCGCTGCTAAATTCTACCAAACATTTTGAGTGGAACTTACCCCAATCCTATACAAGCTTTTTCAAACAACAGAAAGAGACGCAATCCTTCCAAACTGTTTTCTATGAAGCTAACATCACCTTAATATCAAAGCCAGATAGAGAAACAACAGAAAAAGAGAACTACAGACCAAAATCCTTGATGAGCATAGATGCAATGATCCTGAATAAAATATTAGCCAACAGAATCCAATAGTACATCAGGCAGATCATTCACCTGAACCAGGTGGGATTCATCCCAGGCATGCAGGGATGGTTTAACAGCCGCAAATCAAAAAGTGTGATACAGCACAGCAACAAATTGAAAAACAAAAACCACAAGATCATCCCAATAGATGCAAAGAAGGCATTTGATAAAATCCAACACCATTTAATGTTAAAAACCCTAAGCAAGATAGGCATAGAAGGAACATTCTACAACACAATCAAAGCAGTTTACCAAAAACCCAATACCAGCATCATAATAAATGAGAAAAGATTGGAAGCCTTCCAACTAAAATCTGAAACTAGACAGGGATGTCCACTGTCACTGCTACTCTTCAACATAGTATTCAAAGTCCTTGCCAGAGGTATTAGACAAGAAAAAAACATTTAAAGAAATACAAAGTGGAAATGAGGAATTGAAATTATCTCTATTTGCAGATGACATGATTCTACATAGGAGAATCAAAAGACTCAGTCAAGAGAGCTCATAAGAGACTGTGGAACTCATAAAAGACCTTGGCAGAGTAACAGGATACAAATTTATGAACACAAATCAATGAAACTATTGCACACAAATAATTCTATGGATGAGAAAAGAATTGTAAGTACAGTTCAACTTAAAATATAGGAGTGGAATTTTAAATACCTAGGAATTAAGTTAACTAAATATGTGAAACACCTCTTTGGCAAAAGCTATAAAACATTAAAAACGGAAATAGAAGAACTTGAAAAATGGAGAACCTTACCAAGTCCCTGCATTGGCAGAATCAACATAATCAAAATGACCATATTACCAAAAGCAATATACAGATTCAATGCAGTTCCAATCAAAACCCCAACAACATTCTCAAAAATAGAAAAGATATCCTGAAAAATAGAAATCAAGCTGGAGGAATCACAATTCCAGACCTCAAGACATACTACAGAGCAGTGGTTTTCAAAATAGTCTGGTATTAGTACGGAACAGAATTGAAACACCAGAAGAAATTCCACACATGTATAGTCAACTAATCCTTGACAAGAAAACTGAAAACTGAAAACAATCCAGGCAAAAATTCTGGACTATTCAACAAATGCTGTTGGGACAACTGGATATCAGGTTACAGAATTAAGAAGCAAGACTCACGCCTGTCACATTATACAAAAATCAGCTATAAATGGGCCAGGGACCTAAATCTACACCAAAAAACCATCAAATTATTGAAGGAAAACATAAGAAACACATTCCAAGTATAGGGACAGGGGAATACTTCTTAGAAAAGATGCAAAAAGCAAAGGCAGCCAAAGCTGAAATGAACAAGTGGGGCTACATCAAACTACAATAATGCTTCTGTACAGCAAAGGAAATAATTAACAAAGTGAAGAAGCAACCAACAGAATGGACAAAAATTTTGTACACTACACAAGTGATAGGGGAATAATACCCAGAATTTACAAGGAGCTTCAGAAACCCAGTCACAGGAAATCAACCAACCAATCAATCAATCAATCAGTAAAACCCTTTAACAACATGGACAAAGAAAATGAACAGACATTTTTCAAAGGAACAGATTCAAATGGATAACAGACATATAAAAAGATGCTGAGGCTCTCTATCCATCAGAAAGCTACAAATTGAAACCACATTGAGAGGTACCACCTAACTCCAATGAGACTGGCCTACATTCAGAACTCAACTAACAACACCTGCTGGTGTGGATTTGGGGAGAAAGGCACCTTTCTTCACTGCTCATGGGAGTGTAGGCTAGTACAACTACTGTGGAAATCAATATGGAGAGTGCTTAGAGAATTATAAATAAACTTTTCATATAAACTAGCTATCCTCCTGCTAGGAATATCCCCAAAGAAAGTGAAATGTGCATATGACAAGGGGTTCTGTAATCCAATATTTGCAGCAGCACAATCTACAATAACAAAGTCATGGAAACAATCCAGATGTGCATCCAAAGAAGAGTGGTTAAAGAAACGGTGGTACATCTACTCCATGGAATATTATTCAGCTATTATGAAGAATGAAATTATGCTATTTACTACCAGGTGGTCCCAACTAGAAACCATTATGCTCATTGCAATGAGTCAATCACAAAAGAATAAATACAATATGTTCTCTCTTATATAAGGAAACCAGCATGGAAAGTGTAACTTTAATAATCCGATTTATACTGTTTTTTGTTTGTTTGTTTTGGCTGTATCCCATGTGATTTGATTTTTTTTTTAATTTCAGTTTTGTTTATTCCAAATAAGTTATTTTATTTTGTCAAACTCATCACTGGCTCTTGGATTATATGGTGGCATCATATTTTCCAAGTGCTTCCTTTTTGTCACTCATGTGTTGGTTTCTCAGTGGCACATTTTTTCATGGTGCTGTAATTTCATGTTGATGTTGTTCTTCATGTTTTTGCTGTGGCTGTTCTAACTCATATCAGTTGTTGACCTTGTTTCATGGCTTCTCAATTATAGATATGTATAGTGATGGAATACTGGGGTCTATCATATACAGATGTGGGGGTGTAATGGAACATGCATCCCTGCTTCCAGACGAAAGATGGATTCCTGCATTCACAATGAAATTATTGGACATGTGTAGACAATGGGTTGCTGGACTGTCAGACATTATATCAACAATGTTGGGGTACACTTAAAAAAGGGACCAATAGAATTATGATTCCTTATGAAGGACTATACTATTGTAGTAAAATGGAAAAAATCTGTCAGGGGTTGGAGTTTGGGGGGAATCTCAGCCTATACGATATTGTACAACATAATTCAAAATAAAAGTATGTTTAAAAACAATTAATTATTTTTGTTTACTAAAAACAAGAGAGGTATTTATTTTTTGTTGGAAAGTCAGATTTACACAGACTAGGAAAGAGAGAGAAAATGATCTTCCATCCAATTATCCACTGCCCATGAGGCCACAACAGTCGGATCTGAGCTGATCTGAAGGCAGGAGCCAGGAGCCAGGAGTTTCTTCCAGGTCAGCCTGTGGGTGTATGATCCCAATGATGTTGGCTGTCCTCTGCTTCCTTCCACAAGCAGAGAGCTGGATGGAAATAGAAGCATCAAGGATAAGACCCAGAAGCCAGGATAAGATATGTGAACCTAGAGTATGCAAGGTGAGGACTTTAGCCACTAGGCTACCACACTGCGTCCTATTAAATTTCTTTAATCAGTAACTTTCATTCAATCATTTTTCAAGTTAATCCACTAAAGTATTTTCAGGTTTCGCTTCTCTATTCTTCAACAGTTCAAAAGTATAGATCTTTTACAAATCTTCAGTTGTCTTTTAATTTTTCTTGTTATACTATGCATTTTTATTTCTATCTGCTTCCCTCTGAGCATTGTTTTCTGAAAATTTTCTGTCTATAATATATTTTACTATTTCTATTTTACTCTCAAGCTATCATTTTTTTACCATTAGATTTTTTATATACAATTTTTAAACTATATACTTTCCAGATCTTTGGAAAATATTATTTTAATCCATTTCCTTTAATTGACTTTAATATTTTAAATCCTTATCTTTCCTAGGTACCATGTGAAACTACTTTTTAGTATCCTGAAATGTGGTAAGATTTTATATATCTAACATCTAATATATCTAATATCTTATATATCTAATTATTTTGGCTTAGCTTAAAAATTGTGTTTGAATAATAATAGATAAAAGTTGACTTTTAAATAATGTCAATTTACTTTTCTGCATTGTAAACTAATGATAACCAAGTTACTTAGAGCACATTCAACAACTCATTGGAGAAACTTGAGTTTGGCAACCATTTTGGTTACTTGAGTTTCATCTGACAAAATATTTAAGGTCGTGCAAATTCTCTGAATTGTAATTGGGTGTTAAGAAAATAAGTAGTAACATTATGGTATTCATTTACTGAGCATGTGAATTATAACTTGCTCAACAAGTGATGAATAACGAAATGTAATCTAGTAATGAAAATATCAAAAGTGGGGCCTAGCATGGTAACCTTGTAGCTAAAGTCCATGCTTTGCACAGCAAGGATTCTGTATAGTTGCTGGTTTGTGTCTTATCTGCTCCAGTTCCCTTCCAGCTCCCTGCTTGTGGCCTGGGAAAGCAGTCAAGGATGGCCCAAAGCCTTGGGACCCTGCACATGTTTGGGAGACACAGGAGAAGGTTTGGGCTCTTGGCTTTAATTCAACTAACTGCGGCCTTAGAGGACACTTGGGTAATCAGCTGATGGAAAATCTCTGGATCTCCTCACTGCGTATCTGCCTTTGCAATGCAACTAAATAAATCTTAAGAAGGAAAGCAGAGAAAGAGGGAGAGAGAGATAAAATTAGCAAGAGAAGTTAAAAAAAAAAATTAAGATTATTTGTTCCAGTACTTCTTAAACCTTGCTTCACTGCCTTATAATAATCCTGGATTTAGTTCTAATAAAACTGTATTGGGCCCGGCGCGGTGGCACAGTGGTTAAGGTCCTCGCCTTGCACTCCCGGGATCCCATATGGGCGCTGGTTCTATCCTGGCAGACCCGCTTCCCTTCCAGCTCCCTGCCTGTGGCCTGGGAAAGCAGTGGAGGACGGCCCAAAGCTTTGGGACCCTGCACCCGCGTGGAAGACCCGGAAGAGGCTCCTGGCTTCAGATCTGCATAGCATCGGCCGTTGTGCTCACTTGGGGAGTGACTCATCGGGTGGAAGATCTTCCTCTCTGTCTCTCCTCTCTGTATATCCGCCTTTCCAATAAAAAAAATAATAAAAATAAATATTTTTTAAAAAATCTGTCTTTATAATTGCAAAAAATAATAAACAAATATATCTTAAAACATAGCTACAAGGTTTTGAGCTCAGAACCTAAACGATACATACATCTAATCAAGGAAGGAAAATAGCTTTCAGAAGCACATTGACAACTTGAAATGGAGAGCCTACCAGCATACTGCATTAGATATTTAAATCCGAAATTGTTTGGGATTACATAAAAATATCAAATGA